CCTTTGTTGTGCACAATCTATTTATTTATTTACATAGAGTTTCACTCTGTCACCCAGGCTGGAGTGCAGTGGCACAATCTCAGCTCACTGCAATCTCTACCTCGCAGGTTCAAGTGATTTTCCTGCCTAGGCCTCCTGAGTAACTGGGATTACAGGTGCCCGCCACCATGCCTACCTAATTTTTGTATTTTTAGTAGAGACAGAGTTTCACCATGTTGGCCTGGCTGGTCTCAAACTCCTGACCTCAGGTGATCCACCTTCCTTGGCCTCCCAAACTGCTGGGATTACAGGCGTGAGCCACCGCGCCCGACCTGCTTTTTATTTTTATGCAATCGCCTTTGTCTGTTTTTGCTTCTCTTGCCTGTACTTTCAGGGTCAAATTATATTTGCCTAAACCAATGTTGTGTAGCTTTTCCCATATGTTTTCTTCTAGTAGTTTTATAACTTCTTGTTTTATATTAAGTCTCTATTCCATTTTCAGTTGATTTTTGTCCGTAGTGTGAGATAAGGGTCTAGTTTCATTCTTCTGCATGTGGATATCCAGTTTTCCCCAACATCATTTATTGAAGAGACTGTCCTTTTCCTGTTGTATATCCGTGGCATCTTTGTCAAAAGTCAATTGACCATATATGCATGGGTTCATTCCTGGGCTCTCTACTCTGTTCCACTGGTTGATATGTCTATTTTTATGACATTACTATGCTGTTTTAATTACTGTTGCTTTGTGGTATAGTTTTAAATCAAGTAGTAAGATGTCTCCAGCTTTGTTTTTTTACTCATGATTGCCTTGGCTATTTGGGTTTTTTTGTGGTTCCATATGAATTTTAGGAAGGTATTTTTCTATTTCTATGAAAAAGGACATTGGAATTTTGGTAGGAATTGCATTGAATCTATAGCTCGCTTTGGGCAATATGGGCACTTTAACAATATTAAATCTTCCAGTCCATGAATGGATATCTTTTCATTTATTTGTGCAGATACCATATACTTCTAATAAGTATTTGTAGAATAGACAAATGAAAAGTGAAAACCAACAATTAGGTGGTCCCACTGAAGTCTCAGGCAGGGCAGAACCCTGATACTTGTGGTCTTCTATTACCCTCTGGTGGGAAGTGTAGCAGCATTGTTCTCTAATGCCTCAAAATCTCCTAATGCAGTGTTTTCCAAACTACAGGTTCTTACCCATTAGTGAGTTATAAAATCATTTCAGTGGGTCATGACCAGCATTTTAAAAAATTGAATTAAATTTCTGAGTAGAAATCATCAGAGTGCTTCACACATGGTAGAGGCAAATTCTGCCATAAATTGTCATAAAACTATTTCTTTTTTTCTTTTTTCTTTTCTTTTCTTTTTTTTTTTTTGAGATGGAATCTCACCCTGTCACCCAGGCTGGAGTGCAGTGGCGCAATCTCAGCTCACTGCAACCTCCACCTCCCGGGTTCAAACAATTCTCCTGCCTCAGTCTCCTGAATAGCTGGGACTACAGGCGTGTGCCACCACACCCAGCTCATTTTTGTATTTTTAGTAGAGTTAGGGTTTTACCATGTTGGCCAGGCTGGTCTCCAACTCCTGACCTCAGGTGATCCACTCGCCTCCGCCTCTCAAAGTGCTGGGATTACAGGCGTGAGCCACCTTGCCCAGCCATAAAATTATTTCTATATTCCTATTAGCATATATATTTGCTCATACACTATATAAATTTTTATGTGTGTACTAGACCACAACCAGTGATTTGTTGATAAAAGTTTAACTATTAAGGCCAGGTGTGGTGGCTCACACCTGCCAACATGGTAAAACCCCATCCGTACTAAAAATACAAAAATTAGCCGGGTATAGTGGTGCACATCTGTAATCCCAGCTACTCAGGAGGCTGAGGCAGGAGAATCCCTTGAACCCAGGAGGTAGAGGTTGCAGTGAGCCGAGATTGTGCCACTGTACTCCAGTCTGGGAGACAAAGCAAGACTCTGTCTCAAAAAA